TGGGTTCTTGTTTCCCACAGGAGGATCTTTCTATGCTACCTTTAAGAGGGAGGCACTAAGCCAGCCCTGGGATGCAGGGAAAGGGCCTGTTTGTGACAGCCGCTTGGTGCTGCTTGTTGTTTCTGGTTTCAGGCAATAGTGGGACACCAGACGATTTATTTCTCTTGGAGTCTCAGTGTCTTTGCAACAAGGGTCACAAGTGAGACTGGAAAAGGGTGGTGCTGCTTGATGGGACTGATATGCCTTGGGTTTATATGGTGCTGTCAAAGAAAGAAGTCAGCAGTTGGCAGTGGCCAGTGACCCCAGAGTCACCTGCTCCAGGAGTCAGCTCCCAGCCTTACCCCTTGGCCTCCTCATCCCAGCTGTGGGACCTAATACACACTGAGGGCAGAGCACAGCCTATGCCTCTCTGAGGAAGCATGGGCTTTGAAATGCTCTTGGGCAGATCTGAGCAGCCTTTGGCTCCAGTCAGGGCCCTGTGTCTGGGCTCTGGTGGGGGTGCCTGGGTGTCCTCTGTACTCACGCTGTGGAAATGCTGGAAGTACCCATAGCTGAGTCAGCAGGGCTCAGGATCACTTCTGCTTTCTCGGGGTACAGGTTCTGAGATCTCAGCCCAGGCTGGTGATGGGACAGTTCTTGTGCAAGGTGGTGGGTGATCAGGGAGATGGATGCAGAGAACGGCGGACACACCCAGCATCCCCCTGGGGCTCAAGGATGACAGGGGGTAGTGAGTGCATGGGGAGAGGCTGCTGAGCACTGGTGGGAGCAGGCTCTGAAGCTGCAGGCCTGTATGCTGGCTCCGCCTCTTCCTGTCAGAGTTGCTTAGGTTGCCCTGCTCTTTGGCCTGTAGTCCATGCTCAGTGAGTGGCCCGGGGTCGCGGCGAAAGACAGATGCTCATCCCTGTTGCGTGAACTTGTCTGAACAGTCTACAGAGTCTGAGGCCCTTTGTGAGGGAGGGATGAGTCCTGGTGGCCTTTCCGTTACTGTGACAAACACCCTGACCAGAAGCAATGTAAGGAGAAGAAAGGGTTTGTTCAGCTCCCGATTCCAGGTCACAGTCCATCACGGAGGGGAAGTCAAGGCAGGAACTCGAGCAGCTAGTCACATCACAGCCGTAGTCAGGAGCAAAGCGTAAAGCCGTCCTTGCTTCCTGCATGCTCTCACAATGGGCTGGGTTAATTAACAGTCAGGGGTCAATTAACTATCAGGACAACGGCCCACAGAGGCGCTCACAGGCCAGCCTGGCCTAGGTAATTCCTCGTGAAGATTTTCTTCTCAGGGCCGAAGAGATGGCTCAGCAGTTCAGAGCGCATCCCACTTTCTCAGAGGACCTCATATGATTCCCAGCCCTCACACCAGATGGCTCTCAACCACCTGTAACTTCAGCCCCTTTGGCATCCAGTACCTCTGGCCTTGGGAGGTGATGTACATGCACATGTAATTAAAATTTTAAAACAAACAAAACACTCCAAACTTTCTTCCTAAGTGAGTCTAGGTTGTGTCAAGTTAACAGTTAAACTAACCAGCTGGTAGCAAGTGGATCAGCTTCGGGATCACATCCCCACCCTGTAGGTCGAGTTTCTCTGTGTCAGCCGCTCCCAAATAACCATTCAGAGACTTACTATTAATTGTAAATGCTTGGCCAATAGCTCATGCTTATTACTAGCTAACTCCTACATTTTAAATCTACCCTCTGCCACGTAGCGGTATCTTCTTTCAACATGGCATGTTCACCTTCTTCTTTCTGCATCTCTGGAGACTCCTGAGACTTTACCCTTCTTCCTTCCAGCATCCTCTGTGTCTTGTTGTCTCACCTATACCTCCTGCCTAGCTATTGGCCAGTCAGTTCTTTTATTAAACCAATCAGAAGGCAACTTGGCAAAGACACATCTCCACAGTCTACAAAAAGATTGTTCCATAACACCCTCCCCCCATATTCTTGTAATTTCCCCATTAATCACAATTGTCAATTGACTTTTTGCTATGAGAACAGGTGTGTCAATTCTGGGGACCAGGATGTGGACCTCTTTGAGGGACTGTCTATCATTGCAGGCCACCCTGAGGGCAACCCAAATGTTGAGAGGTCTGGGCCATTTCTCTTCCTTATGATTGGCTCTGAGGATGCACCATCCACCCGTTTGGCAAAGCAAGTGTGTGCTTTTTTTGACCAAGAACAAATTGTTAACTGCATTCACACTGATGTCTGCCAGAGACACTTGGTGGCCAGGGGCTGTGGGAGCAAAGAGGAGATGGCTTTCATGGGAACAGCAGGAAATAAGTCCCCAGACAGGAAGCCTGCCTTTGAGCTGGGTTCAAAGCATGAGCTGGCCTCAAGTTGCCCGAAGGAAAGTTGGCAGGAATGGGAGACTCGAAGCAGAGCAGAGAGCACAGATGAAGAGTGGAGGGCGTGTGGTAAAGTGGTCAGGGAGCAGGGGGAGTCTGAGGGCTCTGCGGGGCCTTGAGGGCCCCACTCAGTTCCCTGGGTAGCCAGCCTGACACGCTCCATTTTACCGGCATAGTGTACCCACCCTTTTCAAACTCGGTGCGAAAATGGAAGATTCCAGACAGCCAGAACTAATTGAGTTTAAAATTTGAAGTCTGGGGCTTTATGTCCTGGGTTGTTCGGCCATAGACTGGGTGGTCAACTCTTACTGGGGGTGGGGTAGGGGGTGGAGCTGCAGGATGTATGTGTGGGAACACAGGCGCAGAGGAGGGAGGTGCTGGGATGGTGTTAGAGAGGAGGTTAGGGTATGAGCCCTGATCTGCCTGTCGTGTTCGGTGATTCCCTCCTGGCAGACACACGCTCTGCCACACATGCTGTGGCCACACAGGCCTGGCTGGCATCGCAGGGGCCTGTGGAAGGGAAAGAGGAGCCATTCTCGAGGAAACATGGGTACATTCAGTCTCTTTCATGACATCCCTGGACTCCCAGGATCTGGGTCATGGAGAAAAGGGAGTCAATCTTTCCAGTATTGTCTGAAGGGACAGCTGCCTCACGGCCCAATCCCTACCCAATCCCATTTCCTTCCGCCAAGGTCACGCCTGGGGACTGTTCCTACAGTGCCTTTAAGACACACTCATGAGAGAGGGAGGAAGCAGCACATGGTCCTGCTTTACAGCCAGGGAAACTGAGGCCCACGGAGGATGTGTGCTAATTCCTTCCTCTGCCCCCTAACTCACAACATCTTGATGATTGAAACACAGGGCATCCTCATGTCTACACCTCTCAGACAGAGCCTGGGGATCGCGGTGGCTCTTCCTCAGCACCCTCTCTTCCTCAGCAGGAGTGACAGTGGGTGCTGGGAGGGGAAGGTGTTAGCTGGGCTGGCATGGGGGATGGGAACTTTACCCTGTCTTGGAGTGTGTGACAAGATGGATGAGACCATTAGCATCCATTGTGGGAGCCTCTGTTTCCCCATCTGAGAGACAGTTGTGACAATGGCTTGGGAAGATTTGTGGAGAAAAAAAAAATCATCTTTTAAAAATAATGAATTATTTTTAAATAATTCATTAATTATTAAAAAATAAATTAATTAATTTTATTTTCTATAGTTCATTCAAAGAGGTTGGAACTGGGCAGGTGGAGTTTAGCCAATCACGTCAGTAGGGAAGCAGGCTGCTGCCCCCGAGGGCTTCGCTTCGGTTATTCGCTGGCTCGGCCTCGCTGTTGGCATCTTTGTTACTGGCTGGTCCTTAGCCACATGGGTTTGGGTAGGCAGGATGCGGTAGGCAAACTGAACCCCCTTTCAAAAGGAGAATTCTCTAGAAGCTGAGGCAGTGGCTCTGTGTTCTTAGGTGTTTGGAGGGCCCTGGTAAGGCAGCAGGTGGCTGGCCCTCTAGATGCTTCTGGAAGCACCTGTATGGGCATCTGGCTTGCCCCTGGGGAGGGGAGAGCCTGCTTGTTCTCCCTGGTGTGAAAAAACGGGGGACCCCTCTAGATCTTGGACTCCTTAAGGCTAGGTTTCTGGGCCACTTCTCCAGAGCAGGATGCAGAGGCATGGAGTGTGTACATTGCCTATCTTGGCGACTCCACAGCTACCTATCCCTTTTTACTCTCCCTCTGGCCCACTTCCTCCCCTCAGGCACATGTCTGGCCTCAGAGGAAGGGGTCTGGGTGGTCCCTCCCCTTAGCAGCTGGCTGTGGTGAGACCCCACTACCAGGCTGTGGGAGGGAGTGTGTCTCCTGCCTAGTGCACAGGCCCAGCAGCCCCACCCTGTATCCACCACATCCTGGTGCTCAGTAGACACTGAACGGCTGAGCGAGCCAGCAAGCCTGACAGTAGAGGGACACTCAGGGAATAGGATCTGGGGCATCACTGAAGCCTTCCCTCTCCCTCAGGGAAGAACAAACCTTAACCACAATTATTGTGAGGGCATGTGGTGTTTTATTTTGAAAACACATAACATTATTTTAAGTGTGTGTGTGTGTGTGTGTGTGTGTGTGTGTGTTTGTGTGTGTGTGTGTGTTTGTGCAGGCATGCATTGAACAACTTGAGAATTCTGCATTCTTCAGAACAAGTCCATGTGTTTTAAACATCAGTGTGGCTTTTAGGCTGCACATGATATGGTACATTCATGTCATCCCAGCACTTAGGAAGCTGAGGCAGGAGGATGGGGAGTTTATTTGATGTCACCTGAGCTCCACGGTAAAAGTCTACCTCCAAAAAAGGAACAAATAACACCCCCCTTTCAGAAAAAAAGGAAAATACCTCGAGGCCTCCATAAGCCTTTGGGCCAGCTCTGGGGGGCGGGAGTGTGTGTGTGTGGAGACTCAGGCTGGCCTCCTGTCATGTGATTGATGGGAAACTTGAAGGAGAGTTGCCCTGTGGTCTGAAGGAGTCCCCAGAAGGTAATAAGCCTTCTTCCTCTTGCCTCCCCTGCGGAAATAGGGACAGAGAGAGGCTAGGTGATTTGTTCAAGACACACAGGGAGTGAATGGCCTGAGTCAGAGTTCAAAGCAGCTTTAACCACAGGGCTCACAAAGGTGTCACTTTGGCAGGTTCTGTTTGTATCTGTCACCTCACATCTGTGGCAAGGCAGATGAGATCAGTTTCCTGGACAGCGAAGAATTCTTCCTTCAAGAGCTGGGAGCCTGATAAGGGACAGAAACAAGTAAAAGAACATTCTTAGAAGTTCTACTGAGGACCGTGGCTAAGACACCCATCTTGGATGTTCCCAGAGGTAAAGACTGATATGGGATTTGGGTGGCCTCTATGTATTGAGGGGGTGTCTCAGTCAAGGTCTTGGTCAGGATGAGCTAATTTTTATTTAAAAGTGGACCCCTTTTCCATTGTGAATTTTTTTTCTTTTAAATTTAAAGCTGTCCTGGGAAATCATTATGTTTGATTAGGGAGTTTGGGGGCACTCTTGAGTTTGGGGGCCACCCCTCTCTCCTAAATTTGCACTCCAGGCTAGCATCTCACTCAGCTCGGTGTGTGAGTGGATGTCTTAGGGCATTTTCTGTTGCTGATTACTCCTTACTGAGGTCTGGTGAGTGGCAGGAGAGGAGATTTTAGGGGCTCACCCTCAGCTAAGGCAGGGAACAGTGAGATCCATAACCCTGTTCAACAGTAACAGTGATAGGTCTGGGAGGTGGCTGGGTGGGTAAGAATGCTTCCTCTGCAAACATGAGAATCTGAGTTCACATACCCAGCACCCATGTAGGAAGCTGGGCATGGTTGCTGTGCCTGTAACTCCAACACTGGGGGGCAGAGACAGGTGGGTCCCGAGAGTGCACTGGCTGGCCCTGCCTGTACAAACCAGTAACCCTCTAATTTGGTGAGAGACGTGAGAGACCCTTCTCGCAAGGAAATAAAGTGGAAGGTGATAGAAGAAGAAACTTGGGGTCCCGCTCAGGCTTTCTCACACGCATGTGCAGGGTTGCACACCACACAGTGCGAGAGCTCGGATACTAGTGGACTTGCTGGGGCTCCGCCACGGGCTGTGCACTATTGCTCTGAGGTCTGTTTTCCTTCTCTTATGTCCTAACACCCACCCTGTGAAGGATGTGCTGTCACTGCTTCACTTGGGGACACTGGCACAGAATCCAAGCTCTCCCAGGGGCTATGCGGCAGAACCGGCCCCGATACCATCTGGTATCACCACACTCTGAGTCTGGCTTTGCGGCTCCATTCCTGCCTTCTCCATCTTTTAGCTGTGTGCTGTTGGGCCTCTTGTTTGGCCCTCCTGGGCTTCGGTTTTCTCTCCTGAGGGGGTCATTAGGGCTTTTGGGAGGCTGAGGACGAGTGAGGGGTGGGGAGGAGCGTGAGGGTCCAGCAGTGAGGGTCCTAATGTTTCAAGGGTTTTCATGTCTGGCTCCAGACCCGAGAGGCCTTGGAAACCTGAACCAACAGAGAAGTCACAGCCAGGACTCTTGGCAGGGGGACAAGGGAGCAGAGAGTGGGACAAAGGTTTCTCTGTCAGCCACTCAGGGCCTGTGGGGAGGCCTGATGGAAGAACCATGAGTGTTCCAAAGAACAAGACTCCTGCCCAGAGGCGGGCTGGCAGTGGGGCCTGCCAGGGACCGCTCCTGGGCCAGGCTGGAAGATTCCTCTGGACTCTTCTTGAAGGGCTTGGGAAGTGGCTCCTTCCTCCCTCCGCCCCACACCCAGGGCTATCACTGTTTTACTTTAGAACCAAATAAAAGTGGACTGCACCTTGAAGTTGGCAGCTGCTAGGGAGTCCTCGGTACAGCAGGTCACCTCCGGACCACCATCCCTCTCTGTGTACTCAGGCTCCAGCCTCAGGCTCGGGAATGGCACTGGTCACCTGCCCTCTGCAGAGGCTGCCCCTCTAGCCCCCACGATACTCTCTGAACCCCCACCATCCAGCTGTCTCTACAGGGTTGCCTAGGGCCCAGGGATCCATGCATCCATGCACTGCAGCTCTCTTGTTCTCTGCGGCAGCCCAAGACGCAGTGGAGAACTGTGGAGACCGAGGGCCAGGAGCGGACTAGCTCTCACAACCAGAGAGAGAACAGGTATTTCCGTGACTGGTGCTGTAGGGATGGCCGGGCTGGGTGAGGACCACTTGGCACTGGAGGATGCTCTTCGCATGGTTTAAAACAGCATGGCTCTACCAAGGAGGGCCAGCAGCCCTGTTTCTTCATTATAAAAGTTCGTCAGGGACGGGGAGGAGAGCTCAGTGTCAGAGTGCTTACCTAGCAGGGCCGAGGCCCTGAGTTCCATCTCAGCCACCATATATCAACAAAAATGAAAAAAAAAAAAAAGGGTAACATAAAAGGAAAGCTTAAAGTAACAAACAAACTCTGGTTAGACGGAGTGGAGGGCTAAGGATTCAATTGTAACATTGTAACACACATGGCAAGATTGCTTACAACACGGTGACACTAAGAGACTAGATCAACTGCCCATCCAGGGTCACGTCCCAAGAACCCATCCCCAGGGCACTGGTAATCAAGAAGCCGGTAAACCTAACAGTGAAATGCTATACCGCTATCTAGAAGGAGGGCCTGTGTTTTACTATCTCCCAAATCTACTATTGGGTAAGGAAGGTGCGTGTATCTTCTCTTTTATACAAAGTGTGTGTGTGTGGTGGTGATGGTGGTGGTGGTGGTGGTGGTGGTGGTGGTGGTATCAGGAAAAACCTTTGTAATTACTCCGAGGCTTCAGAATGACACCCAGTAACCTAGTCCAGGAGCTGGGTGCTCTGGGATCAGATGGACGGTGTTGTGAAGAGGTAGGACCTTTTGCCCTAACTCTTTACAGTTTTACGCGGTTTGAGCATCTCTAATTGGGTCGAGTTGTGAGGTTGAACTTGAGTTGTGAATGGAGACCCTCTCAGGGAACATCAGTAGCAAATGCTTCGCTTTGAGTGTGTGTAGCAAACTCCCAGACCCGTGGTCTCTGCTACCTGCCGGGACAAGCCTGGGATTTCGAAGTACCTCTACTCGGTCCCAGTCTCTTTGGTGTCACAGTGGAAGGGTCCTTGTCGGTTTATGTAGGAATCACTCCTTCGTCTAGTTCCCCATCCTCCTGGTAGCTGCGATGGGCATCTGGTGGCCTCCTGTGGGCCAAGCTGACGTCTCAGCACAGATCTGCTGCCTCCTTCCCACGGCAGTCTTGAGACCCAAGCCCTTGGTAAGCGCTTTCAGGAGAACGACGTGTCCTCCTGGCCCTCCTCAGTGCTCACTTCCAACGGGGCGGGAGGTGGAGGCTTCCAGAGAAGTCGTTGACCCCCAAGCTCAGTCCAGAAAGGCCTGGTGTGTCTTAACCCTCCTTGTCTCTGCCAGGACTTTCCCAAACACTGTCCCCCCACTCTGTCACCACACGGCTTGCGTTGAGCAATACCTCTTCTGAAAGAGGCTGCAGGTCAGGGCAGAGCCCCGGCCTTATGTGCAGAAGGCCCCGGGGTCCATCTCCAGCGTTGCGTAAGTGAATGAATAACAAACAAACCACAGCTTTTCTGTGACATCACCCAAAACCCTAGATGAGTTCCCAAGGGCTCCTCCTCTGCCCAGCACAGGGGCTACCCTGTTACCAGTGGCTCTGTCCCCCCAGGCCAGAGCCCAGGCCACTCCTGCCTGGGTCCTGGCTCTCTTCTCTGATCTCACGGCCTGCCCCTCAGTCCCTCTCCCTCTGGTGCCTCTCTCTGCCCTCATCTTTCTTGTCTTGGTGTCTTGCCTCTTACCCCTAATTTTTCTCCATCACTTCTCTCCCCCTTCGCCTTTCTGTCCTTATAGCGGTGTCACTGGCCACCCCCTTGCTCCACACCTCTTTTAGCCCCTTGGGGCCTGCTTCTGACTGTGGTCTCCAGTTCCACCAGGCCCCTGCCCTGTTTGAAGCAGGGAGGACTGGTTCTCCACTTCCCTGGAGCCAAGGGCAGGAGAACCTTGAGGACAGTGGCCAGTTCCGTCCTGCATACCGTGACACCTTAGGGCTGCGTTTTCATGTTGCAGTGGGCCCGTCCGTGACTCAGCGGGCGGTGTGGAGGTTGTGACTTTCTTCGTGGAAGTCGACTCCGCTTGAGACAGAGGAGGAGCCAGACTGGGCAGCCTCTCGGTCACCTCACAGCAGGGGGCTAACTGGACTCTTCCAGTGACACAGATGAAATAAGTGTAGACCAGAGAGGCCGAGTCATTTGCCCGAGGGCCCACAGCTTGTGGACCCAGGTGGAATAAAGCCGATTCTGAAGGGCGGGGGATTCGGCAGCACCTGCCTGAGTGGCCATAGGAGCCCGCGAGGTCACCTGCCTGCCTGTGAGCCAGAGTCTGGTCTTTACCACTAGAACACAGAGGCAAGGAGGAGGGAGCTCTTTCTGTGCAGAGCCAACTACCACGAGGGGCCTGGGTGTCTCCTCACCAGGTGCCCAGCCTGTGGCTGCCTTGGTGAGGAGCTCTCCGAGTCTCGGTTTCCCTATCTGTCCAGTGTGGATCACAGTGCCTGCCCCTTGGATTATTGCTGGAACGTTAATGACTCAGGATGAGAGCTTGGCTGGAAAATGAGGCTAGAGAGACCAAGCCTAGGCGCTGTGAGAGGGAATGATGTACCACAGTGTGGCTGCGGGAACAACGGGTGTAAGTTGGGACTGTCCGTGGCAAGCGGGTGCTCTTCAGGGAAGCCACAAACCTTCTTGAGTTCATATGGTGAACCATATTAATCACCAAGGAGAGTGGAGACCACAGGGTTGGCCCAGGCTGTCCCCCACCAGCTCAAGCTGTCAATAGTGTGCCACTCATGGATGCTGACATCATCATGACGTCAGCACCGAGAAGCAGAGGGATGCTGTTCTGACACTCTTGGGAATGTTCTAGAAGTTTCAGTTTTAAGCCAGCCACACATATCCCGGCTGGACTGAACATGTCCCTGGTACATCCAGGGGAAATGGCTTTGTTGAACTGATGTTTAGAACCTTGTCACCTAACTCAGTATGGTCAGTCTCTCCTGAGATATCCCAGGCTGGGTGTGGTTAGGTCCCCAAGAGCCCTGTCCCACAGCCCGGGCAAAAATGTTCTGATCTTAAAGGCAGGAATCCGCCTCACTGTGGTTTGGACTGTTCAGGGCCAGGACCATGTGACCTGGAAGCTGGCATCTCTTCCCTGGCCAGGAGCCTCGGAGGTGGAGGCAAGGCCCTTGTGAGTTTCGGTATTGCCGTCTGGTCTGTTTCCTTCTCCGACCTGGCTCATGGTCTGTTCCTTCCGGGCCCTCTTCCTTCTTTCACTC